GAGCATTATTTTGAGAGGAAGAATACTTACTGCTACTGTGGACCAGTTTGCACTCCCTACCCCTAAGACACTGACAAGAGGAAAGCCAGAATTGCTCTCCATCTCGCTCCCTCTTCCACCCCACTGGGAAGGATCATGGCTGGAGGCAGGATGAGTCCTCCAGCTTGACTGTCTTAGGGGAAAGGGTCTGCACGAGCTGGACAATTTTGGGAAGCCAGAGAGCGCAGGGCAGTAGCCTGTGGGGCGATTTATGCCTAATCTCTTCCCCTTACATGTGCCTTTTACAGGAACCCCTTTGATTGTAACAATGGGAAGGCAGCAGACCTATTTGTGCAGCGAAAATGGAAGAAGCCCCCTTGTTGGGCAGCTTCCCTACACCCGGCTGGCCTTTGTTTCTGCTGCTGTCTCAGCCCCAGGGCGGGAGGGTTTTCAACTGTGTTGACTAAGATAATTTGGCACTTCTCAAAAGAGAATTTGCTACAAAGGGCGAAGTACCTCCCTGCGCACAAAGAGCCCCTTTCAGAGCGGAAGGATGCTTCAGTGAACGTTTTGTACCCACAAATCCGACCTCCGCCAAGGACAAAGCCAGGGACAAGAACGCTTAATTGCTGAAGAAACGAAAAGGTAAAAAGCACATCCTCGGGCAAAATGACTCTGCTACTGACACAGCCCGCAGTGGCTGCGGGGATCCGGCTGTGCAGGCAGCCAGCACCGAGCCAGCTGTCCCCGCTCTGCCGCAGCTGGGCTCTCCCGAGAGGCCACAAGGTGCTCCCCACGGGGGACACAAGCTGGACATCCACAGCAGGGCGAGACGGCTCTGGGGAAACTGAGATGCTCCTCTTGGCCAGAGCCCTGGAGGAGTCAAGATGGAGCAAGAGCTGGCGGGGAGGCATAGGTCTGTTCCAGCAGAGCTCTGCGCCTGTGCCACCCATCACCCCAAGTGGTTTCCCCAAACCAACGTGTCTTGGCTACATTAGGGCTCCCAAATGACAGGGCTACCCCGACTTAGAGGCGCCTGACAAACTCCACTCAAGCCCAGGTGATATTTCTTTCCCTATAACACTTTTTAAATCTAGTACAGCTACACCACGTCACCCTGGAGCTCCTTCACTCGAGTGTCTGCTGGTATCTCCGGCCATGCTACACATTTAATTCTTAAATTATTTTTAATCAGGTGTAGACCTTCAGTTTTACAAGTAGTTTCCCATTGTTTTTCTCACTGCATAGTTTAACCAGTAAATAAGGAGTAGTGTTGTTACTTATTTCCTTATTTCTCAGGGGCCAGGAGCCAGTCATATCAGGTGCTGCACAAACCCACTGATTTGCAGCCAACTCAGCCTTTATGTTATGCTTGATATTTCTTTTATTGCCTTTCATTATCTCTTATCGCAGATGCCAGATTTGCTTTGCTCACAGCCTCAGACCAGGGGAAATCCAACAGAAAGTTCCAGCCTGGATCTGCCCCCTGTCCCAGCCCTGCAGTGACACCCTGGGTGCTTTGGGGAGTTTGCTAACATTGCTCTTGGGCTCCTCTCTCAAGTATGGTTCCCTCCTGGAATGTTTGCTCTGCATCACCCCAGCAGCACCGGGATGCTCCTACACCCCCCATCATCATCCCCGCCGGCATGGTTATTCCTATGTACAACTATTGAAACTCTTGTGTCAGTTCACACAGATTTAATCACTCCTAATGTTAACTTAATCACTCCTGACTTCGTAGTGTGTTAGTGCTGTGGCTGTTTTCTATTTACCAGAAGAGCACCGTAACTTATTGGCATCAGCTGGAAAGAATCCTAGCTTCTATTAACAACGTTCAGGGCCAATATTTTGAAATCCAGTGAGTTTATCAAAACATATTTTTTCATTTATACCTCTTGACTTCATAAATGAATAAACAAACCATTAAGTGATGTGATGTGTTCTACCTTGTCTCCACAAGGGACACAAGCTTTTCCAAATATTAAGTTATCCAGATCTGAAGAGACACCTAACCATCAGTGCTCCATCCTGCCACTTTTCTGCCCACATCAAAGTACGATGCATCCAACCTGCAAAAGCACTCCTTAAACCCCTGCTGTACAGCTGTGTGCTGTTTCTGAACCCACCCACCTTCCCAAACATCACCAACAAACCTCCAAACAAGCAGGTGTCTTCTCTTGTTAGATTCAATTCAAAGTTCCAAAAGAAAACTGCTGTTTTCATCCTGCCTTTTCAACCTCTAGTCAAACAGACTGAAGAAATAGCAAAATATTCTCACTACATCTGTTGTTTATGCTGAGCACAGTGTATGTGTCAAAAAAAAGCAAAGTTTTGCTGACCAGTGTCGTTGCTGAGATAATGTAAATGCAAGTATTTGCTCCTTTGGTAATGACTGGAAATACTGGATCCTGATTGAGATGCAGGACTTTGGACACACCAATAAGGCTAACACCCAAAAACAAAGCATGTGTTCCCTCTATCCTTCCTACAATAATAAGACTTTCTGTCTCTAAAAATTTACTGAAAAACTTACTTGTTCTAATTTTTCTAAACTATTTTAGTATAGAAGTCTAACTCTAAGATTCAGCACATATTACAAAAATTCCCATTCAATTCTAAACCAAGGGAAAATGTTTGCTTTAAACAAAGTTATTAAATTAAACTAAGTCCAAGTTATGTAATCGTTTAATGGTTTTGATTGTCTATCTGCTCTGCTTTGTCATTTCTATTTTTCTTCTCACAGCCCCCTTCATTCTACCCACATCTGTAGGGCATTACCCATAGTGTAACCAATACTCCAGCTGTGGCTGCCCTGCTGCCATAGAGACAGGACGTATCAGTGCTGCAACAGGAACCATCTGTGTGTATGACCCAAAATCACTCTGGATTTTTTTAACCACCATGCTGCTGTGCTTGTGCTCTCTGCTTTAGTTCAAACAGCTGGGCATGACTACTCTAAATTGTCCCCTGCATCCACCAGAAACAGAGAATCTGATCCCAAAACACAGCTAGGAGACACATGCCAATACCTACTGCTTCCTCCCTGCCATGAGAACTGTGCCCCCAGAACTCTGAGGGATGCAGGGTGCAACAGACTGCCAGAGGAATCCATTCTTCAACCTCCTCCTTGCTCCTAACCTCCACTCTCAAACCTTTGCCTATACCCCTGCTGCATGTTTGTATTTCTGCAAGAAGCAAAGGTCCCGGGGACAGAGGCGGCGCTGTGTAAGTGCCGTGTGTGATCTTTGGCTGCCCGCACAACGCTCCCCATTCACAGCCATTCACAAACCGCGACTGACAGCAGCTCACATGCTCTCCCATGTATTTTAGATGTCAGATAAAAAGGAGCCTGAGACTGCGCTGCAAGGTCCCGTGGTGGGGACATGCACAACTTCCTAACAGACAGCTTGTCCCTATCCTTGGTCCCTGCGACAGGGCTGCAATACCTTCCTGGATTTCAAGTGTAAATCCCTGGTCCTGCAGCTGGAGCCTGAGGTCACTCTGCCTGACATTTGTCTGGCAGCTGAAGCAGCATCTACGTCTGTGGTTGAAGTTTTGCTAGCAAAGTACAAGCACCAACATGGCATTACCAGCACTACAGCACATCATCCCCCGCAGTTCTTTTTGCATCTGTTCTGTCCATGCTCCACTCAAAACCATCACCAGACTTGACTAGTGGTACTTGGCTGGATGCAGCCTGTGCCCTCTCTTGTCCCTTAGCCAATCATTCCATGTGGCAGATTCCCTCCTCACACTTGTGCCCTGGCCTTCATGCTGGAATGGAGTTTAGTGCATCCAACAGGAGCTGCCAGCACGACTCCTCCACGGATCAGACCTTGGTTTGGCATGAACTTACAATTCGGTACATTCCCATCACTTTGCACCTCCTCTCCCAATCTGACTGACACTGGAGATGACATCTGCTGCTTTCCATCCTGCTGCATATCGCCAGCAAGGACGGAGCTGCACTTACCCTGTCCTGCTCAAACTCCTCCGATCATCACTTTTCTCAATCATTCCTTTCACCTACTTGCAGCAGCAGCACTCTTTGAAAGAGCACTTTCTAAACACAGCTCTGCTGCATGAATGACTTTTCCTCCAAAAAATAATTTCCAGATGGAAAACAGCTCGTTTCAACCCTCCAATAGTCTTCCTTACTATCCGCTCTCCCGGTAGTTTCTTTCCCGTTCCATTCCTGTCATCCCCATCAGGCTCCACCAGTTGGCTTCCAGTCTGACCAGTGCCTGATCGCCCGCTGAAGTTTCCCCTTCCACAGTGCGCGCCCGGCAGCCAGGGCGGGCCAGGATCCGGCACTCCGAGGAGCGAGAGGCGCAGCCCGGGCCATCCATCCCCTCCTCGCGGCCGGGGGCTCGCAGGGCCGCCTGCCCGGGGCACTGCGGGGCGCAGCCTGCCGGCATGAGAAGGGAGCATGGCCGCTCCGGAACCTGCCCCGGGGGCGCTTCGGCGGGGAGGGGAGGAGAGATGATGGCTGAAATCTATCGTGTCTTAGGTTTCTGCTAGAGGAGATTCGGTGTTCCTGGCAGGGCACCAGCTGCTAATTCCACTGCACCCGGACCCCTCTCTCCCACCTGGGATGCTGGCTGCCGGAGGCAACAGATCTTCCCGGGCACCGGGTCACGGCGCTCGGCCCCCAACTCAAAGCCTAAAGCATTCCCTTTCCTTCATCCTCCGTGCGGTGCGAAGACCTGAGGCTTCCCGAGAATCCCGCAGGCCAGGAAAGGGCTCTGTCCCTCAGCGAGTGAGGAAACAGCCGATAAGCGGGGGGCCCTGCTTCTCCCCGCGGAGCTCTGGGCGGCCGGGCCGCAGGACACGTGTTGGATGCTGCTCCCGTCCCAGACGCACAGCCACCTCCGAGGGAGCCCCAGCCACCGCCCAGGTGGCCGGCCGGCTTTCCCGGCTCTCCCTCGGCTTTCCTGGGCACGGGAGGGGGTGCAGAGGCTGAGGAAGAGCTCGCCCTAGCACCCTCCCGGCTCTCCGTATTTCCCCAAAGATCGCCCTACCTCCGCCAGCTTGGAGCTCCTCTCCTTCGGGGTATTGCTGCGCTGTTTCCCCCTCACGGGCAGCCCTCTCACCGCAGCCAGGAAAGTTGTCAGGAAGACGAATCCGAGGATGAGCACGATTTTCCCTCTAATCAGAGGCATCTCTCCCTTCCTCTCTCTCCACCTCGTACGTCCAGGGCAGGAGGTCTGGCAGCACGCCCGCCCTTAATGCTCCAAATCCTGTCCTCTGAGAGGAGCGGTAAAAACGTAAAAAAAAAAAAAATAAAAAATTATATCTTGTCTATATATATTTAAAGCAGCGGCGCCGGGAAGCGCGGTGCCCCGCGGGCAGGGGCCCGGGCCACTCCGCTCCCTCTGATGGCTCTCGCAGTTTGCCGAGCACCTTCCGCTGTCGCGGCTCCGCCGGGCGCCTGCCGGTACTGATGCTGAAGGGTAACTCTGAAAAGCTTCACAAATGTGTGCGGGGAG